CAAAGACATTCAGATTGACACATAAACAGTCAACATTCAGTATCCAAACACCGCTGCACAGAAGAAACGGCGCCCACCCGGCACATTCAGATAAACACATAAACCTTAATGCATTTCCCATTCGTCGTCCTTCCAGACACACCACCACACAGGAGAGCACCTAGTCCTTTAACACAGCAGGATAACCGGCTTAGCTGCACTTCCCTTGCCCCCACTTCTCATTCTCCTCGGGTGGGCCGCTCCTGCTGCTGTTAGTCTCAGTGTAAACCCCTCCGTTGTAAGCCTGGTGGGACTGGAGTAAAGGGGAGATCGTGTGCACGGTAGCCTCTCAGTGCAGAGGGTCCAGGATCCCACGTCACTTCTTAGAACAAGATAGCTCAAGGTACAGGTGTTCCTTCCACTCAGCACACCCTCTAACAGGGTGTGAATCTGCGGTCTTAAAATCTAAAGAAAGATTTCTAATCAGCAGACATTCTTGGATGGTTACCAGGGATGGAAAGGCAGGAGAGGGGAGTAACAACTTGTAAATAGATAATGGATGCTTCTTAGATAAAGGGAAAGGCCGTTTACAGCATGGGGCTGATCAGCACAGTCCACGAGTGAAAGCAAAGGAGTGGGGCTTCGTGGAAGTGCCACCAGCACAGAAAGTGAGACGACACGGGGCACCGTTCTTGCTGCAGCAGCACCCAGGGCCCAGCGGGAGTCTCGGTGGGAGCAGTGAGAGAGTCAGTATTGGCATGACTGAGAACTTTATTGGACAGTCGGGGGTGGAAGCCTGTATTGGCAGGACTGAGAACTTGGGAACACTGGTCTGAAGTCACAGGTGTCAAGACTGAGGTGCCTACATGCATGTTTCAAGAGCTGTCTTTACTGTGTTATTAATCTGGATTATAACCTCTTGACTTCCAGCCACCAAACGCCAGCACTGTGACATACATAATCCTGCCGTCACAACAGCAGCTCCCCGCCAGCTAGGCCCCCGTAGCCCCCTGATACCAGCAGTAATAAATGTTAGTCTGCAGGCAGATGTCTGGCAGACAGGCAAGACAGACCAGGCGGATGTGGACAGGCAAAAAGAACAGTACCCATGTCCATAGAGAAGCTTGATAGGTGCTGTTTCTACATTCATATTAGTGTGGCTGGAAATACACCCCTGTGTACAGCAAGTCATCAGGAACAATCTTTGTAAGTTTCTTAATTGTGACCAAACGCCTTGAGAGAGTGAGGCACTGGTTCTGGGGCCTCGGGACCATAGCTGGGGATGTCCAGCTCCATTGGCATGGCCGTCCACCAACACTGAGGCCTGCATCCTCCTCTGATGAACAGTGACTGGGGTTAGAGTAGCTTTCAAGCAGCAGGCATTGGTTTTTCTCTGTACAAAAGGAGAGGGAGAAAGGCAGAGATGGACAGAAGCAATTAGTCAGAACGCCTGATGGACCACGCAGCCTTAAATCTCCAGGACCCCAAGACCAGAACAACTAGATGGTGCCCAGCTCCCACCACTGACCACTATAGAAGGTCCTGGATCGAGCAGGAAGGGAAATGAGGAACAAAACCTTCACTCCCACCTGAGGGCAGCTTCCGCCAGGCTTGGGTCCCCTTAGGCCCAGGTTTGAGCTTTAGCTTAGCAAACAGAATACAGTCTTTGTATCTGGCTTCTTCCAGAACGTCAGTATTTCAATTCTGCTGAGTCCTGGGCAGCATTCAGTTGAGAACACCGGCAGGCCGGCCTGCATGTCATCTTGTTCCAGAGTGTGGCCACTGGTGCCCCCCAGCCCAAGGCTGAGCCTGACCAGGCAGTGTGAGGTGGTGACTGCAGGGAATGTCAGAGTGCGCCCTGGGGTGCGTTTACTGAAGATCAGAGGTGCAAGATCACCCAAGGGCGCACATCACAGGAAAAGCCTGGCAGTCAGTGTCTGAAGAGCCCGTCACAGAAAACCCATCTCTGCGCACATGGGGTTGCCCGCAGGAAGGTAGTTCTGCACCTGCTGGAGTTGATGCCCCTGAACTGGCAGTTCGTTCCGGGCACTGACCCTCCCCGCCTCCAGAACCGGACAGCACGCTTCTCCGTCAGCCAGGCAATGTCGAGTCTCAAGGAGGGAGACCCATGGGCTACTGATTGCATACTCCGCGGCGTTTTCTTTATTCTCTTGATTGTGCTTTGAGTGTAAGTTTATAGCACGTTGGTTTCCACTCCTGTACATCTTGTTTTCTGTTCGTTCAGCGCCCACAGAGTCACTGCACTCTGCCCACCTCCTCCCTGTGAGTCTCATCTCCATCGATCCTGACCTACCACTTCCTGCCTTCTGCCTTTCTCACTCGGCTACTCTTTCTTTACACATCAGCTGCCTCCCGGGTCGCATTCTCCTGGAGGCCTGTCTGCTCTTTGGCCGGAAGTTGAGCTATGGGCGTGGGTTTATTCTCATCACCGTAGGATAATTCGGCTCTCATCTCACGGGCCCTCCCCACCCCCTCGGCCCAGTTTCTGTCAGAGACAGCCTGGCCGTGGCTGGGCTTGTCAGGCTGTCCCCACTCTATCCAGGGTCCTGTGTGTGATTCCTGTTAGAGGGGCCAGCAGTGGTACCAGGCTCCGTCTAGGTCTGCTGTCAGGGTTGGAGGTTGAGGTCCATGTGGTCCACAGTCCTTTGGACTAATGGCTTTTATGCCCTTTTGCTTTTCTTCTCTCTTCCTTCTTTGTTCCAGACTAAGGGAGGCCAAGAGTTGCACCTGAGATGTCTCTTACAGGCTTCTCAGACCCCATTCACTCCTCACCTGGTTAGGAGGTAAAACATTGTCTCCAGGGACTGTGAGGCCACTGGACCTTGATGTCCTCCAAGGCTGTAGACAAGCCCATCAGGGTGTGGAAGTCATCCCAGAATAATTGTCCTCTCAAGCCCAGCTGTGGAGCCATGGGGTTCCGTGACTACGCATTAAATTCAGACCCACCCAACTACTCTGAGGGAGAAAGACCTGGCAACGTGCTTCTGGAAAGGTGCTTACTCCAGACGCATTGCCAGCGTCAGAGCCGACTCAGAGCGGACTTTCTGAGGCCGTAAATCCCAGAGGGGGAAATTGTCCGTCCTGCTCCCTCAGAGCCGCTGTTACAGTGACCCCCAGACAACTGTGGCCTTTGGGTTAGAAACTCCTTATGACCGAGCCACCGGAGCTCCCTGTCCATAAAGGTGGGTGTTGTTGTTGTTAGGTGCCACTGAGTCGACTACAACTCCTAGCGACCCTGTAAATGGCAGATCTGAGCCCCGGCCTGTGCTGCGCCGTCCTCATCATCTCTGCACACTGGAGCCCGTTGCAGCCGTCAGTGTCTCAGTCCATCTCATCGGGGGGCTTCCTTTCTCTTACCCTCCACATTTCCCAGCAGGAAATAGCCTCTCCTAACAGCATGCCCACAGTACGTGGGACGGGTTCACCATCCTTGCCAGCCAGGAGCACCCTGGCTTCACTCCCTCCAAGACGGACCAAAGATTACAGCCTTTGGGGCAGTTACTTCTGCAGTCACGTGGGTCAGTGTGAGTAGCAGCCACTGGCTGGACGGCGTTGCCACCACAGCAAGAGTCCAAGTGGTGCGCCTGAGGGCCAGCTGGCTCCATCGGAGGGTGGTGTGTGGTGACACCGCCCAGGTTCTAGCACGTCACAGGTGATGGCATGGCCACTGTGTTCTCCTTGTCAAGCACGCAGTCTGTGTTCCTTGTTTGTGATCTCATCGCGCCAGGCTGGTCACTGGGGTGCAGCTGGAGGCTGCCTCCCTCATGCATTCCCTCCGTGTGCCAGAGGAGGGGACACCAGAGACTGCCACAGCACCCGAGGCTCCCTCTCATTGCGCTTTTTTCCTTAGGATTTGTTTTAAAACAACACAAAGATGCTTTGGACGCCAGGATGCAGGGGGGCTCTCAAGCAGAGATGCCTCCCATTTTCCTGACCTTCGTCGGTTTTCTTGATCTCTGTAAGCTGTTGTCCCCGTCTGTGGTGGCGTCTCTGGTCACATTCCTGTAAATGTGATGCTCCCATGTGGAACGTGAACACCGTCTAGCATAGGACTCACATGACTCAGCTGTGGGTGCAATCACACATACTCACCACCAGCCGGGCTCCTGGAAACCTCCAGGTCCAGGACTCTGTCACAGAGAGCAGCTTTGCTGTGCTCGGACGGTGTGACAGCGTGCAGCCCACAGCCTTAGGAAAACAGTGAACCGAGGTACGCAGTTCAAATCCACCAGATGCTCTGCTGGAAAGGAGGGGCGGTCTCCTCCTGTACCAGTCAGATCCGATTTGACAGCACACACACACAAAAGAATAAAATGACCGAGCTGCTTGCGGGCCCGCTCACAGGGCTTCCCTGAGCCCGACAGGGTAGCCTGCAGGTGTGAGACACGTAGGTCAGTGGTTGCACATGCGAGGTGTCTCAGTCACCTGCTGCTGGGGCAGCGTGAACAGGGACTTTTCTTAGGGTGCCACGTTGAGGGGAGGTCTTGTTGAGTTGGCCCTGAGGACAGGTCCTTGTCCTGGCGCGGGTAGCCTGCCGTTCCTCGGCTGTTTGTCCATCCTGATGGATGTTCCCTGTTCCCCAGTCGGGGCTCCCTCATCTTTGTCTAACCTGCTCTCTCTAGATCTCACAAGTGATGCCGTTTAAGTCAGGACACATTAGCACAACAGAAACCCTCTTCCCCACAGAGTCCGTCCCCAGTACGGTTGGATGTGCTGTGTGCTGTCTGTTCTGCCCCAGCACGACAGGGTACAGCCGCCTGTAGGGATGCCAAGGCTGCAGTCGTTCTCGAGCCCGGCGCCTTGTCCTTCTCCTGCAGAGCAGCTGGTGGGCAGCCGAGCCCCTAACCACAGCCCACCCGGGGTCCTTTCCCAGGTGTAGGGATTGCGGTACTGACACGTCCGGGGGAGGGAAGGGCACACAGCTCCATCCCTGCAGAAGGCGCTTGGCACACTCAGATGCTGGCAGAATCTCCAGTCTCCACCTTATTTCCTTCATCCAGGATGAAATCGATGATGCAGTCAAGATGCTGTTGGCCTTGAAAACGAGCTACAAAGCTGCAATGGGCGAGGATTACAAGGCTGACTGCCCTCCAGGAAACCCAGCCCCCGGGAGTGACCACGGTCCAGATGCCACCGACCCCGAGGAGGACTTTGTGGACCCGTGGACGGTGCAGACGAGCAGCGCAAAGGGCATTGACTACGACAAGCTCATCGGTATGCCCTGCCCCTATCACAAGCCCCTCCTGGGAGCCCCGACCCCAGATCCTTGACTGCACTGAGCCTTTCTCCTTTTTTTTCCACATAATGAAGCAAAGATCCCATGGAGGTCATCAAAACACTCCTTTAGTCATTTATTCATAACTTCCTTGAGTTCTGTGAGCAGCTTTCTGTGCTAGCAATTAGTAAATAGGACAGCATCATGGGTAAGTATGTGGAATCCCACTGACTGGGTAGAAGCCTAAACACAGCCACCTGCAGACTCCACACCCTGCCTACTTATTCAACCTCCTTGCACTTCATCTGTAAAATGGGGATAATAAGAGCCCTTCTGTCACTGGTTAGCTCTGAGAATGAAAGCTCTGCATGAAAACACAAACCACTGTCTACTTTACAGTGAGTCCTGTGTCCTGCCTGTGTACACATGGCATCACTGTGAGTTGAGAATGGAGAGCGGTGCTGCTGCTTCTCTTCCTCTGCCGCACACACAGTGGTGACGGGCCCAGGTCCTTGAACAGGACGCGCTTCAGATACAGGTGCTGCCACCCAGCAACTAGTGCCTTTTGGCCTGTTAATTGTACTCTCTGAGCCTCCACTTTCTGGAAAACAACAACAACAAAAAGACAAGAACCCTACTCTAGTGTTCTATTAAGTTAATCAATTAAATAGTTGCACAAAGTGTTTAACTAACCAAGCAGCTACCCTCTGCTGCCCTGAGTCAACTCTAACTCATCACACCCCTGTCAGCCCTCTCTAAGGCTACAGACCTTTACTGAAGCTGTCTCATCTGTCTACTGTTAGTCAGCTGTGAGTCCAAAACCACTGAATTAAAAAAAAAATGTATTGAGATTTTAATGAAAGTTTATAGAGAATTTGGATTTCCAAGTTGCACATTTTCCTCCCTCCTCCAGTTCACTTTTCACTTTGGTAAAAAAAAAATTCTTTCATTACTGTACAATTCCCCACCCCCAGCCCAGTCCACTTTACTGTGCAGCTCTCATTCTGGACTGTTGTCATGCAAATACCTAATCATATAATCCTTTTAAGCAGTTCTTTCCCTCATCTGTTTTAATACAGTGTTCATTTTTTTTATTAATTTTAATGAACATTTACAGGGATTTGGATTTCCATTCATTCATTGTTGCACTTTTGCAGTGTTCATTATTTATCCCCTCTTTTCTTAGTTTCCCCCAACCCCGATGTCAATCCTGTTTTACAGCAGTGGGACTGGGCAGTATTTGTCCTTTTGTGACTGAGATATTTCACTCAGCATATTGTCCTCCAGGGTCACCCATTTTGTATAATATTTCGTAAGTTCCTTGTTTTTCAGTTCTGCCTAGTAGAATCACTCTCCTTTTAAACTTGTCAAGCTAGTAGCACTGCCCAAGCTCTGACACCAAGAAAGCACAGAGCCCGTCATCTTCTGGTTGTGCGTTCTGTCCCTAGAGGATTGTTTTCACAATAAAATAGCCATGTTAACCTTGTTGCAAAATAAAGCAATGCTAGGTAAGCATATTTTGAGCACTTCCAAACTCAGAGGGTCTGTTGTTCCAAACTCAGAGGGTCTGTTGTTCCAAACTCAGAGGGTCTGTTGTTCCAAACTCAAGAGGGTCTGTTGCCGTGGCCTGCAGTGCGGTCACTCGTACAGCCTCTGGCTAGTGGTTACTGACTGATTATGATGCCAGGGGCCGGCATCCGCTGGAGGAGGCAGCCAGCCAGGCCTGGCACCGTGGTGAGGCCCTCCATGGGGGTGTCCTGCTCAGCCAGGACTCACCACGCCGGTACAGGGCCCTGACTCTCAGATCAGTGACACGCCAGTCCGTTTCTAGGTAGGGAGAGGCATTCTCAGTGATGGAAGACACAGGCACCCTGGAGGACAAATTCGTGCGGGCAGGTGTAGGATCAGAGCAGAGAACATTACAGCTGTGGTTGTTGCTGCATATGAAGGAGACCAAAGCAACACTGAACTCGGGCAGGGGCGTGTGGTTGTCACCCTGCCGAGCTGGACAGCATCCTGGGTGTGCTCCCATCACACTGCAGTCCCCGTCAAGACCGTGATGTGTTCCGTGATGGAGCCCCGCCACTGGCTGAGGTCTCAGCCTGACACCTCAGGTGTAACGCATATGCCTGGGGCTCTGTGTGTGTGTGGTTTCAGCAGTCCCTGGCCATCGGATCTCCAGTCCTGTGAAAGTCAAGTCTTTCTTCCATTGTGTGTGTTCCCCGCAGTCCGATTTGGAAGCAGCAAAATCGACAAAGAGCTAATAAACCGAATAGAACGAGCCACTGGGCAGAGGCCACACCACTTCCTGCGCCGGGGCATCTTCTTCTCCCACCGGTGAGCGCCGCGCCCTCCTCCCCTCTTGCTCCTCGCCTCCCCTCCTCACTTCATCTCCCTGCCCCTCCTCGCCTCCTCTGCTCCCCTCCTCTCGTCTCCCCTCGCCCCCACCCCTTGGTGCAACACAGTCTTAGGAGCTGCTTCCTGGAGCCCACCTGGCGCGCTGGGAAAAGCGGTGGTGGGTACTGGAAGCTGGGGCCTCCTCCCATCCCAGACTTGGCACCACCCACTCTGGCCCTTGTTTCCTGGTTTGTACACTGTCCACACCTCATAGTGGGGGGTCAGGTTCCAGCAGATAAGATTCAGGCCTGATTGCCTGCTGTAAATGGCATAAAAACAAAAGACTGTTAGAATTGGTTCAGCATTTCCCACGCAGTAAACAGTGCACGACCTCTTGCTTCCTCTTACCTCCTCTTACCGTACTGACCGCACACTAATAATCCCCAGAGAAGCCCTGGAGTGTGTCGGGCAGAATGGCCAGGCCTGGGAGCGTAAGCTCACGCAGATAACATCAGAAAGCAGACAGGTTTCCTGAGCTGCTCCCTTCCCACGGGCCAGGCCCAGGCAGGCTCTGTTCACAGAGTTTATGGTCTGAGAGTTCTGCTGCTCCTGTCACGGAACAGCAGGATGGACTCGGCGTTCTGCCCAGGCTCTCTGGGTTCTACCTGGAAAGGACGCTGCCCCACCCACAGCGCAGTGTAAACCGAGACATCCCTTCGTCAAGGTAGAATTCCTGTGTGTGTTTCCAAGGGCGCGAAGCCATTCCTACAGTCTAATCCGCCAACCACTGCACAGAGCCCCTTAAACAGCAGTGCTTAAACACTGCATCACCAAGGCCAGGACCAGCCCACTACCATCAGGTTGGTTCTGACTCCAAGCTACTGAGCCTCCAGGTTTCAACAGAGCCTCATGGTCCTGCATGTTCACAGGAAAAGGCAGCTCCCTAACGGCGGCTGATGCAGGCAACCTCTGATCTTCTGGTTAGCAGTCCAGTGCCTGTTACACTGCACCACCCTACTCCTTACAGACAGTCACAGGGGAAACTTGCAGTAGAACCTCTGATCTTCTGCTTAGCAGTCCAGTACCTGTTACACGGCACCACCATACTCCTTACAGACAGTCACAGGGGAAACTTGCAGTAGAGAGTTTGGCCGGTTTTTGTTTCATAAGCATCAAAAGTCATTCTCATCCATGTGGGGGTTTTCTCCTTACTTTTTCTTTCTCAGTGAGTATTGAGAGGCTGTTGCCACCAAGCTGATCCTGACCTGTGGTCCAGCACTTGTCAGAGTGAACGGTGCTCCACAGTTTTCACTGGCTACTTTTTCAGGAGAGGGTTGCCAGGTCTTTCTTCTGACAGGCCTCTGGTTAGCCGCCACATTAATTAACCATTTTACCGTCCAGTGACAGCGTTTTAGTGCCTCGATGTTTTTCTGGAAACATCACACCCATTCCTCTCCTCCTTTTTCCTCTAGAGACATGAATCAAGTTCTCGATGCCTATGAAAATAAGAAGCCCTTCTACCTGTACACGGGCAGGGGCCCCTCTTCGGAAGCAATGCATGTCGGTCATCTCATCCCGTTTATTTTCACGAAGTAAGTGATGCTCTCGCTGGGCTGGCGAGCTGGGCGTGCTGGGGAGAGCCAGGCTGAGAAGCAGTGAGCCTTCCTGTGTCGTTGTGACCCACCAGCCAGGGCACCAGGCTGCTGATGCCTCTCTAGCTCTGCTCACCCGACCCTCGCTGCACCCCAGAGGAATGCGGCGGCAGGAAAGAGAGAGCGCTGTCCAGTCCTGAGGCCTGTCTCATCTCCTGAGAATATGGGCAGGTCACAGGAGTCTCAGCATCTCTGGGTGAGAGATAGCAGGTTATCTGCCTCTCGGAACTGCCGTGAGGATTCTGAGCAAGAGAAGGGAGGCAGCCAGCATGGATCCGAGGCTGCAGGGCCCGTGGGCAGCAAAGGGCAGCCCACACCAGCATCACCCCCGACACACAGCACTGTGGGGTCATCAGTCTGTCAGCAAGGAAGCTATAGCATATGTTGCTGGGTGTGAACTGGGGTTTAGGTGCACGTGGTGTTTCTGCAGAGAAGAGAGCCATCCACATTTGTCCCCCTGGATCCTAGGTGGCTGCAGGACGTGTTCAACGTGCCCTTGGTCATTCAGATGACGGATGATGAGAAGTACCTGTGGAAAGACCTGACCCTGGACCAGGCCCACGGGTACGCCGTGGAAAACGCCAAGGACATCATCGCCTGTGGCTTTGACATCAACAAGACCTTCATCTTCTCCGACCTCGACTACATGGGGTAAGGGGATTGCCCCACACTCTCGTGGGTAAATGGACTCACTTGTCAGAACGTCACGACCACGGCTCACACTGAAGACAAGGGAGAGGCTTATTGTCAGCTGCCGTGCATGTGGCTGTCGCTGTCAGTGGCCCGTGCTGACCAGAACGGAACCCTGGCCGCCGTCCAGTGCTGGCCGTGTGAGAGCCGTTGCTCAGTCACTGTCACAGGATCGCCTTTCGGCTCTGCCTTTCTTTCTCTGACCCTCAGCTCTTCCCCACATAATGTCCTTTTCCCCGGATTGCCCCTCCTGAGAACACGCCCCGAGTATGTGAGGTGACCTCTCCCCATCTGCACTCCTCCTAAGGGTTTCCCCGGCTCCACTTCTTCCCTCTGGCAGGCCATGATCTATTCTGTTTCCATTGCCAGCACCACAGTCCAAGGGCATCAGTTCTCCAGTCGTCTTCACTCGTTGGCCTACTTTCACATGCATCAGAAGCCTGGGCACTTACACGGTATAACATGGCTTATTTACCAGTATGCCTGCGTTACTTCTGAAAGTGGAATGCTGGGTACAGAGGAGGCTACGCGATGCCACCCCTTCCGGGTCTGAGTGCCCGCTGTGCTGTGTGTGCAGCACCAGGGCCGTTCCCTGACAGGCAGGGCTTCTTGTTGGAGCAGGGCTTCCGTTTCGCCTGCTTTCTAAACATGGTCTGTCTCATACAGCGCGTTATCTTTGTTTCTCAACACTCCTTTTTCCTCAGAGAGGAAGCTCACCAGTGACACAAGCCACGCTGGCCGCAGTGTCCCTTTTCAGGTCAGCTGCTTCATCAGCCAGCGTGTCTCGTTCAGAGATGTTTCCCCCAAATCTCAAGGCACACAGCCCCAATCATCCACTGGAAAGGGTAGAGGGATACGGATCTGCTTGGGGACCCCAGGAGGGGCACTCCCACTCGGTGTGAGTGTTTCAGGCACAGGAGACTGGCAGGGCCGAGTCACTGCAAGCTGAGATGCCATCTGGCTGTCAGTGTCTCCCTGGCTGGGCTCTGAGTCGGCAGGGGTAACCAGGCGCCCGCTGGCCACCATCTCCTAGAGACTGCCCTCTCCTGAGTCCTTAAAGCCCAGCAGCAGTGGCTTTAGACTCCCGGGAGAAGTGGATACCGTTCTCCAGCAAGGGAAAGAGCTAAGGCTCTGTTCACACCCTGGGCTTTGACCACGTGGACATGGTGTGTTGTGGTGGCCCTTTTCTTACTAACTTTTGATTGTGATTTGAACAAAACTTTCCAGAGCAAATTGGTTTTCTGTTGAACTCCTTTGCGCAGTTTTGTTTCATGACATGGGCTGAATCTGCACAGCATGGCAGCACCCTCCCCACTTCTTCCCTGCGTTTCCCATTCCTGTTCCCATCCTCTTCTTACCCCCTCCTATTTCTGAGCTCAGTCCCGGACAGATGCAGCCCTTTGGATTTCGTACAGTTGTTGTTCTAAGGCCCACATACTCCCTGGTGTTCCTGATCGCCCCTTAGAGCTGCTGTTTGGCTCAGAGTTGAGTCAAGGGGCAAGTTGTGTCTCGACCCTGAAGGGTGACTTAAGGGCTACTGTCTCCGGGTTTCCAGCACATTCTAGCGACCTTGAAAACAAGATCTTTGCAAGGACACAGACCTGGGGTCTCACTTCTCTCGAGCTGCTTTACAAACAGAAGGTTGTTCCCTTACAGTTTTGGCGGCTACATGTCTGAGTTCAAGCATGCCATCTGTAGGGAAGGCTTCGTGTCCCTGGCGACTCTAGAGGGCTGGTCTTGTTACCATCAGCATCCCAAGACCCAGCGTTTGCTGGCAATCACATGTGTCCTGGCCTGCCCGGGAACTTGGCCTGCCCGTGTCCCGGAGCTCCTAGCACAGGGGCCTGGGCTCAGGCTGACCCCACTCCTGCCATTTGTTCCTGGTGTTATCTGAGGGCCGCCCCTCCTGCTCTCCTTCCTCCTCTCACCTGCCATGAAACAAAGCAGTACAGGCCACACGTGGAAACCTAGGCCACACGTGGAAACAGAGGCCACACGTGGAAACAGGCCACACGTGGAAACCTAGGCCACATGTGGAAACAGGCCACACGTGCAAAGGCTCCTTACATCAGATCAGGGCTGTAATGGGATTCTGGGACATGTTCACTCTTCATCCTCTGACAGCTTTTGTTTTGTTTAATTTTATTCTTCTTGCTTGTATGTGTTTACCATCAAATCAGATCTGACTGGTACAGGAGGAGATTGTCCCTCCTTCCCCGGCAGAGCATCTGGTGGATTCAAACCACGTACCTCTGGGATTGCAGTGCAGCTTCTTGCCACTAGGCCACCAGAGCTCCCCTATCCTCTGACAGCTTTATCAGATTGTGGGGGATCATTACGAAACTCTGACATCACATGCGTATTTGGGGGACAAGCAGTGTGCCCCGGTCTGTGAGGGTTAAGTGCATGTGCACAATCTTCTGAACAGCCCTGCGTGTGCAGAGACCAGCCCTGCTTTCCAGTTCTCTGAGAGGGAACTTGGAATGGGTGGCGGCTGTACCCCTAACTCGTCCCCTTGGTAACTCGGCTTCAGCTTCTGGCCATTCTCCCTCTCAGCTCACCAGAACTTCCGTCTCTTTGTAAACACCGAGTAAAGGTGAACCCAGATGCCATGCCAACCGAAGGGTATCTTCTTAGAAAGGGAGTTTCTGTTGGACTTGAATTCAGAACCAGAAGAAAAGCACAGACCTGCTACCATCGACTCGTAGCAGCCCTGTGGGGCCCTCCCTTGTGTGCGTGTCTGTGGGCACCATGATGGGCCCTCCGCAGGTACATCAGGTAGATGGGCTGTCAGCAGCACCCGCCAGCCCGTCGTCCTCACCCGGCACCTGGCCTGAGCAGCTCGATGCCTTGGTTTCACTGCCCCACACTGCCCCGCGCCCAGGTGTGCCAGCCCGCTGTGACTCCGATTGTCTTTGCAGGATGAGCCCGGGCTTCTACAGGAACGTGGTCAAGATCCAGAAGCACGTGACCTTCAACCAGGTCAAGGGCATTTTCGGCTTCACTGACAGTGACTGCATTGGTAAGAGGCAGAGCCCCGGGGCCGGCGTCCAGGGTCAAGGGCCGGGACTTGAGAGGCTCTGAGTCATTCTTTTTTTTTAACAGTAAATCCAGACCTCAGTTTAAAAACACAGTGATTTGGGAGTCCCTGCTGGCCTGTGGGCCCCAGTGTGGGGACAGCCTGTGGTGGCGACAGGAGGGCAGAACTGCAGCCCTGTCCTTCCCATTCCTCATGCCCTCTCTCACCACCCCGCCTCACCCTGCCCTCCAGCTGGCCTTGACACTGCCAACCAGGTCCATGTCCCTCACCTCTATTTCCACGTCTCTCAGCTGCTCCCCTGTCAGACGTCCAGTCCTCCAGGCTTGTGGCTTTGTCAGCAGGCTTCTGCTCACCCTGAGAGACCTTCCCTTGAGCTGCTGGCGAGATGGCTCCCCGGGCTCTCTGTGTGGGGGACACACGCCCCCCAGCTCTCTGTGTGGGGACACAGTCCCCAGGCTCTCTGTGTGGGGACACACGCTCCCCAGCTCTCTGTGTGGAGGACACACGTTCCCCAGCTCTCTGTGTAGGGGACACACGCTCCCCAGCTCTCTGTGTGGGGAACACACGCTCCCCAGCTTTCTGTGTGGAGGACACACGTTCCCCAGCTCTCTGTGTAGGGGACACACGCTCCCCAGCTCTCTGTGTGGGGGACACACGCTCCCCAGCTCTCTGTGTGGGGGACACACGCTCCCCAGCTCTCTGTGTGGGG